CTACAAGATGATCTGAGCACAGGGATTATGGCAGTATTCATAAAGAAATTTGGAAAAGAAAGAAAAATAACAGCTAAAATAGTAAAAAGAAGAAGTAAGAGAAAAAAATAATAGAATGCGAGTAAATTGACAGAAAGAGGAAGAAAAATGGAAAAAGAAGAAAGAAAGAAATTGAAAAAAAGGAAGAAATTTGAACAAGAGCGAATGAATGAAGCGAATAGAGGTAAGAGAGATTAAATGGAAAAGAGAGACAAAGAAATAAAGGGAGATGCTACAGAAAGCAAACAAAAGAAAGAAAATAGCAAAGCGATGAAATGAAAGAAAAATGATAGAAAGAGAAAGAAAATTGAAGAAAGAAAGAAAATTGGAAAAAGAAAGAAAGAAGGAAAGAGGGAAAAGGAAAGGAAGACTGGCTGAAAGAGGGATATTGCAGAAAGAAAAAGCAGAAGAAAGGAAGGGAAAAGTAGTAGAACAAGAAAGAAAGAAAGAAAGAAAGAAAGAAAGAAAGAAAGAAAGATTGAAATGGTGATATTGTAGAAAGAAAATCAGAAAAAAAGAAAGAAAAAGTAGTAGAACGGGAAAGAAAGAAAGAAAGAAAGAAAGAATAAAGAGACTGAAAGGGTTATATCGCAGAAAGAAAACTGGAAAAGAAAGGAAAGAAAGAAAGAAAAAAAAGACAGACTGAAAGGCTGATATCGCAGAAAGAAAATTGGAAAAGAAAGGAAAGAAAAATTAATAGAACGAGAAAAAAGAGGAAAAGAAAGAAAGAAAAAAAGTAAAAAGAAAGAAAGGAACGAGAAAAGAAAGATAAAGGAAGAAAGACTGAAAGGGTAAATTCGCAGAAAGAAAATTGGAAAAAGAAGAAAAAGCAGCAGAACAAGAAAGAAAATTGCAAAAGAAAAAAGAAAATAAACTGAAATATATAAAAGAATAAACAAAGTAAAGGGAAAGAAACAGTAAAAGATTTTTTTTAAAAATCTGAGTTAAAATAAATGAAGTTACAATGAGAGAATAACTGCATCCATAATAAATGAATATTATAATGTCAAGATTAAAGAACGATGAATTTAAAACCGTTTAATTTGACATAAAAGAAAAAAAAAAGAGGCCTATTGAACAAGGGAGGTAACTGCATCAAACGTCATCTGTAGCACGATGGCTGATCCCCTTAAACCGCGCTGACACAACAAATAATGGATAGAAAGAATCTCGAATGAATTATTCAGTAAATCTATTATTGCCGCTCAGTTATTCCATAGCCACCCTGAACCCCGGACATGACCGGATCGATGGCGCCGACTATGTGTTCATACAGATCTTCCGGAAGTAAACGCTTTTCGACCTCCTGTTCAAAGACTAGAGAGCGGCAATGTTCTGGGAGGGTGATCTTCCGGGGCGCCAGCCTAAAAGCGAGATTAAATATACATTTGTTCCGCATCTACGATCATTCCCGAGTTATTCGGCCTTACGCGCGAAAGCGAGAAAGAAAAAAAAGTGAGGAGAATAAGAAGGGAGGCTGAGCGGAGTAACCATGACTGACCGGCCGGAAAAATTATAGCGTTTTCGATTCAAGGCAAAGAGGGTGTTACGGTATCGGGGGGAAAGAACACACACACGCACACACACACAAAAAAATTTAATAAAGACAAACGCATGAATAAGAGAAATGACTAGCGAAACGAATAAGGAGAATAAAAGCATTTTAAAAATTATTATTTCTCAGCCTGGCAACAGTAATAAATATTGTGGAGAAATGGAGAGAGAGAGAGAAAAAAAAGATCACAGAAATATTTATTGGCATGTTTAATATCGGTTTTTTTTTTATAGTTTTGTATTTTGCGTTTATAATGTTTATTTTCTAGTGAGGAGAGTTTAATATTTATGCAATAAAAGAATTGTCAGTTGCATTCGATTTAGCATTTATAATACATGCAGCTTTTTACGACCCTTATTTTTTGTTCAAAAATAATATACTACATCCTATATACTGAAGGGCAGAAATGAATGGCATTGGGCGTGGATAAACAAACATTTCATTTGCCGTATAATTTATTTTGCCAGTACAAAACAGGTTTCATTTACGCCATTTTTTTTTTTTTTTTACAAAATATTTCATTTCGTTTTATATACAGAACAGCGTAGCTGGAAGGAATTTGACATGAATAAGCAAACATTTTATTTGCTATATAATTTATGTTACAATTATAAAACAGGCATCTTTTTTTCAAAAATATTTTAATTCGTTTTATTTAGAGAACGGCGTAGGTGGGTGACATATGACTTGAATAACCTAACGTTGTATTTGAATTTTATACTTATAGAACGAACTTCATTTTACCCTATTTACACAAAATAATTTACTTCGTTGTAGATATAGAACAGAGTAGATGAATGGCATTTGGATTGAATAAACAAACATTTCATTTGCCGTATAATTTATCTTGCCAGTACTAAACAGGTTTCATTTACGCCATTTTTTATTTATTTATTTTTTTTTTTTTTAACAAAATATTTCATTTCGTTTTATATACAGAACAGCGTAGATGGAAGGAATTTGACATGAATAAGCAAACATTTTATTTTCTGTATAATTTATGTTACAATTATAAAACAGGCATCTTTTTTTTCAAAAATACTTTAATTCGTTTTATTTAGAGAACGGCGAAGGTGGGTGACATCTGACTTGAATAACCTAACGTTTTATTTGTATAATTAATTTTATACTTATAGAACGAACTTCATTTTACCCTATTTACACAAAATAATTTACTTCGTTGTAGATACAGAACAGAGTAGATGGGTGACATTTGGATTGAATACACAGACATTTTATTTGCTGTAAAATGTACTTTGCATATACCAAAAATACTTCAATTTATGCCTTTTTTTTCAAAACTATTTTATTTAGTTGTATATACAGAACAGATGGATGGGATTTGACTTGAGTAAGCTAACTTTTATATGCTCTTTAACTTTTAGAACAGGCTTCATTGTACGCTTTTTTTTACAAAAATAATTTACTTTGTTGTCTATAAAGAACAGGGTAGATAGATAGCATTTGAGTTGAATAGACAAGTATATATAGTTTTGCTGTATTACCACATACCAAACAGGCTTCAGTTTACGCTATTTTTTTTTTTAAAATATTTAATTCCGTTTTATATACAGAATGGCGTAGATCGGTGGCATTTGGCTTAAATAAGCAAACATTTGCTGTATAATATTTTGAACTTGCAAAACACGGTGAATTTTAATTCCCTTTTTTAAAGAAAATACATTATCATATGTAGGGAAGGTTTTACACGGTCAGTATTATACCTAAATAAGAAGCCAGTTTATTTGCTGAAAAATGTATTCCCGTCTTATGAAACCAGCTGACATTTTACGCCACTTTTCCAAAGCATAATTCGTTTTATATACTAACGGCAGACATGGATGTCTCCTTTATAAAAATTACCTCATCATATGTAGAACATGGTATACAAAGTTGGCATTTTGCATAGGTACCTCCACGAGATCGCTAAAAAAAGAGCATAGCATGATGAAAAAGACGCTAAACTTGAGGAAAACAAAATTTTATCGTCTAAATGTTTGTTATTATTAAGAGGAAAGGTCAAAGTATTTTGGGGTATTTTTTTCCATTTTTTAATCGTTCCTAGCACGTCCGAAATTTTCGTTAAAAATCTAGTTTTTTTTGAGTCAGCAAAATTGACCATTTTTTCCATTTTAAAAAAACTGAAATCTGACTTTGAAATTTTTTAAATATCAATTATCATTTTTCAAAACTTATTTTAAGAAAATCAGAAATTATAATGTTTATTTAAAATATTTTGAACCAAACTTAACTTAGCTTTTTTGTGCCAAAAAGATGTAATTTGAAAAATAAAACAAAGCAGGTCATAAACTTTCGCGTCTCTTGACATGTGATGAATGATATATTGACGAATTCCATGAGGCTAATTTATTCTACGGAAAGGAGAAAAGTGAAATAATTTACATTTACGTGAACAAATTATTTACCCCGTTATTTTTTTAACGAAAACTTTCAGCGGTCTAATTTTTTTTTTTTTTTTTTGTACTTAGCTTTCACCTTTACGTTTATGATGCTTTATGGGAAATATATTGTAAAGAAATTAAAATAAAACTGTTAAGAGTGACATTAAATTTCATATTTCTTAAGAAAGGTATCTAATTAATTTATAGGTACCTTTTCTTATGAAATTTTATCAGAATTGTACATAAAATACTATAATTTTATGTACATTTATTACATTCTACTGTTATTTGTATTTGCATTCATTTTATTATTAATTTTGATATTTTATTTATGGAAAAATGTCGTAACTGAGATTAATATAAAAATAAGATCATATAAATTTCATAAGATGATACTGATACTTGTAGGTACCCTTCTCAGTTGAAATTGAAAAATCAAATTAACTTCTCCACACGTGTTTCGCAAAAGTAAAGGCCTTAACAGCGGAGAACAATGCTTAACTCAAATAACGCAACTTAATTATATTCTGGTTGGTCTTCCGTATTTTATAATTACAGCTCGATTATAATCACAAAATTACATTTCTGAATTACTGGGGATCTTCTGATTAGTCAAAATGATACAATTTACAACGCGCTAAAAAAAGATCTATCTCATAAGGACACTTATGAAAGCCAATGCGGCTTTTAACTAATTTTATAATATTTTAACAACTTAAATGTAAAATCTATTATAATTAATGAAATAACAAATAATTGTATTAAAATTCATTTTCATCGAAAAATTTTTTTTGCTTTCAGAAAATATTGTCCATATTCATAAAAACAACTAAAAGCAAATAAAAGCATTTGAAATTAAATAATATCTTTGTTTTATTGAGTTTTGTATGTTACAATTCAGAGCTGATTTTCAGGTACTGCGTATCCAATTAAAAACAAAAAAAAAACATGATTTGCATTCCTCAAAGCCCTGTGCTTTTAATTATTGTAATCACTAAAACCGATGCGATCGAATTTCTAGCGTTTTCATAAAATTAGTTAGGGGAGGGTAATAAATATTTAAAAAAATATTTCTACCATGACTTTCATTAAAAAAACATTTATAATAATTTCAATCATCTGTGAATAGTTTCTGAAAGTTTCATTAACATCCGATAATTATTTCTATTTTTGCACGATTTTTCAAATTAATGTGTGTCATACCAAAAAAACGTGCTAAAAATTGTCTATGTTATTTACTAGTTCCGCTGATACAAATAGAAAAAAGGTTTGTTTAATCAAAATTTAGAATGTTCTAAAAAGAAGGAAAATTTTTTAAAAATAATTAAAAAAAAATTTGGTCTTTCCTCTTAATAATAACATAAGCATTTAGACAATAAAATTTAGTTTTCGGCAAGTTTGGCGTCTTTTTCATCAAGCTATGCTCTTTTTTTAGCGATTTCGTGGAGGTACCTAATTTTGCACCTCTAAAATTCTACATGTCCAGATCCTGTCTCTACTCTATAACAATTAAATGGGGGAAAGCTGGTTAGTTACCTCAAAAACCAAACTAGTACTGTTTCATCATCACCGATCCGACGCTGAATGTTCGCCTATCGCAATGAACGATTGTTCTATCAAGCAGGACCCATTGCCTTGAACGCCTGCTAGGACACATGTTCATCCCAGAGCTCAAATGGAACTTGTAAAATAATATCAGGTCATCCCATAAGTTCTGTCCGAATTTTGAATAAAAAAAACAAGTGACCAAATGTTACATTTAATTACAGATTCAATCATCAATGTATTTTCCCTGATTATCTATGACTTCCTTCCATCTATTAACAAGCTTACTAATTCCATGACGGTAAAATTCTTTTGGCTTTGATTCGAAGAACTCACAAATGTCAGTTTTAACCTCTTCCTGCGTTACAAAAGCTGTTTCTTCCAAATGATTCTGTAAACTACGAAACAAATGGTAGTCTGAAGGAGCAAGATCGGGAGAATAAGGTGGAAGAGGAATTTTCTCCCAACCAAGTTCTTCGATCTTTTGTGACGTGATTCTTGCTGTGTGGGGTCGCACATTGTCCTGATGAAATATCACCTCTTTTCGATTCACTAGAGCAGGTCTTTTTTGATCAAATCTTGGTTCAAACGCTCTAATTGCTGGCAGTATATTTGAGCATTAATTGTTGCATTAGGTGGTAAGAATTCAAAGTGGATTATTCCTTGGCGATCCCACCAGATTGAAAGAAGAACCTTTTGCCCATGACGTTCCCTTCTCGGCTGTGGCTGGGGTCCTTCCCCATTACCAAGCCACTGTCTAGTTTCCAAGTTGTTGAAGATGACGATGAACAGTTGTATGGTTTGAGCTGAGAACCACTGCCAATTCCTCAACTGATAAAGCAGGATTTTCTTCAAGGGCTGCCTCAAGAAGCTTTTCATCAAACTCAACTGGACGTCCAGTTCGATCTTCATCTTCAAGGGTGAAATCTCCACCTCTGAATTTTGCAAACCATCTTCTGCAAGTTCTTTCATTCACACATTCCTCTCCATAAACTGAGTGAATGTTTCTAGCCGCTTCGGCTGCTGAGTTTCCTTTCTTGAACTCATAAAGCATTATGTGTCTCAAATGATTCTTGGGTGCTTCCATCTTAGCAGGGTTTTAATCAAACGAAATTTTATTGTTCTCTGAAATAAAATTTGATCAGTTTAACATAAGAATAATGTTTAGCTCCATTAGACATTATAAAATACTCTTTAAATTTCGTTCATTTTAACAAAAAGGTAAAATTCGGACAGAACTTATGAGATGACCTGATAAAACAAATGAGCAATATTCAAATGCCACGGCATTCTCTAAAATATTCTACGGAATTAAGCCAGATAACTATGTAGCTATAGTAAAATGGGATCTCATTGCTAAAACCAAATCTTTGACCTTCAACAAAGAAAAAATGTACTCTCTTTTATTCTTAAATACATCGATAATCATTATTTACATTATTCGGACTATTGTCCTCATCTTTGTCGCCATATTTATTACAACGTTTCGGCCTTTCAGTATCTGTCTATATTTCTGAGATGAGGTATTATGTACACTATTTACATTATTCGGACTATTGTCCTCATCTTTGTCGCCATATTTATTACAATGTTTCGGCCATTGTACGCTCCGGCCTTCTTCAGTTGGTCGGAATATCGAACTGAACCCTTTATTTTGCTTCCTGGGGTAGTCTGTTCTAATTCCATGTGCCATGTTTAATGGATGTTAGTTATCCGTTATCTCCTGTTAATTTTCCCTCTGACAGTTCTCCACTGCCTTAACCGGGTATTGAACTCATACTCTTTGGGTTCTGTCACTGGATCTAACCAACGCCTTTATCCACAGGGCCATGTGTTCTTGAGGAAAAATTAACAGATTACTTAATGGAACTGCATAAAGCAATTGTTTTACTTGGCCCCACAGATAAAAATTCAAAGGATTGAGGTCGGGGACACATTCAGGCCATAGAACCCTCCCTCCCCTACCTATCCATCTTTCATCGTAGATGTCAGTCAGTGCATTGCGAACAATGTGACTAAAATGTGCTTGAGACCCTTCATGCATGAACGATATGCATCTTCGAATTATTTTTCTTTTCAGATTGCTAAATGAATCTTTGGGATAATATATATTTTACATATATATATATATATATATATATATATATATATATATATATATATATATATATATATATTCATGAATTATTCACACAAAAACTAATGCAAAGGTTAATGATTTAATTGGCGAGAAATCCATCATCGCAAACAATTCAAATAATATACAAAAACCTCCGAATCCGTTATGAATGAAATGATCCTTGTTTATATAAATTTCTGCCGTATTAGTTCTTATTTTTACTACAAGCTTTCGTCTGTTCCTACAGACATCTTCAGGTATAGAATATATATATATATATATATATATATATATATATATATATATATATATATATATATGTGTGTGTGTGTGTGTGTGTGTGTGTGAAAAATTTGGAAAATTAATTTAAAAGCGGTGACCGGTAAACCTATAATTAC